ATACATAATTTGAAAAATAAAAAATACTTCTCGTAAAGTTAAATGCATTGATTCTCCTAAATTGTTTCTTTGCAATTATTACAACTTATTTATTTTAATATATATTCTATTTTCGCAATAGAATGAACAACTTGTTCAACATGTTCACTATTGCTCTAAAATACAAACTATAGAAATCTACAAAATATTTTTATTGAAAAGATACATGAAGTACGAACTTATTTATATCAAAAAATTAATTTGAAAATTCCAATGAAATATTTTGCATTACTGAACTTATAATAATATATAACTCAAGCAATTTATGAGTTCTTTRAGTTGAAATGAAAATCAAAACTAAATAATGAATAACGAAAAAAAAAAAAAAGAAAAACTTAAGAATTTTGGGTTTATGGACAGGTTTTGCGCGATGAATTTAGATGTTTATTATTTTTTTATTTTATTTGCTGGCATTGTAGGTCAGGGTGAATGTGTTTAGAGACTAGTGTTATTCTTTGGAGTGTATGTGTGTGTGTGTCTGATTATATAGTAAAATAGTAATACTTATGACCCATTATTATTTCAATGCCTGTAATTGAACTGTATCTTATCAACTAATTCTATCAACTGCAGTTGAGATTCAGTTTGCCGGCTACTCGAAAGCCTCCTGCTTATCGCCCTTGCCTTTATGTCACTCAGTAGAATAAGACTTAGTAAAAAGTGCTCTGTTTTGATTTATACAATTCTTAATCGTTTAATGGACTCAAACTGGGCGCTGCCAACTCGATTTCGCTTAGCCTTAACAAAAAAACTTTACGATTTGCCAAGCCCTTATATATGTATATATATATTATTTTTGGGAAAATCAATAGAGGAAGGCAACAGAAATTTTGTCGTTTTGAATTTTTAGATCTAAATCAGTAGATAATACCGTTTTCCCCAATATGCTAAGCCTTCAATGGGCGTAGATATATCCACCATATTGATTCTTTTCAAAAGCTACAACAGGCAATTTTAATACCGATTCATCTTTAATTTCTTAATACAATATTATATGTTCACTAGTTGATCAATCTATATCGACTTGAGCTTATTGTAAAATAATTTCAGCTCTATGGATTCCTCTAGAGATTAACACTTGCGGTTTCTAAATTTGGATTTGCCTGCTATATGTATATATTTTAAATGTATATATAATTTAAATTTATTACGCATACGTAGTGAATGTGAAATCACAATTTATTATATATAAATATTTATAAGGTTATGCCATCTTCCGTACATTAGGCAGACACTTGCGTCGAGTTCATTCTGATTTCTGTGATTCCTGCCTGTATATAAATAGATATTTGGAATTTATTACGTATACGCCATGTTGTGATGCCAGCAATTCTAGTGATAATTGCCGCACATAGATTTTTCTTTGATTAGTATTGCAAAGCTTTCAATTATGCTCGCTCAAGCAGGGAGAAGAGTCCATACAGTTTCTTTTTGTAGCTTATGCGAGTTGAAGCCTTGAATATAAAAATCAGAAACTTGTATAGACTCTTTCGGCTCTTTATACTTCTACTTGTAGAATTAGAATTTCTTAAAGGTCACTTCTCTAAGTGTAATCTATACAACCTAGTCGCTTACACGGTCAACAGAATATATTCACATTTTCTTTCTTTCTGCCCTACTCTCGCAAATACCATTGTATACTCTTCTGTAAGCTTGAGTGTAAGAAATAGAAAAGATTTTGACTCTACTTATAATCGATGTCTCCCATTGCTTTATAGCTAATTATAAAACTAAGTGGTTCTTGAATCTCTAATTTATACTCTATACTGTAGACCACTTAGTCAGATCTAATTTTTGTAATCCGTTTGAGTGTTATGTGTCATGAGTGTATACATTTAGGGATTTTTGAACGAGTATTTTGCAGTCAGTTGTAGTCGACTGAAATGTTCTAGCCTGTACCGAATCGCTAATTGCTGATTCTGCTATTACTGATTGAGATTTTGCACGTTGTCAAATATCAAGTTATGTTATGAAATGTTTAGTGTCATAACAGCACTTGTTTATTTATATATGTATATATATGGGTATATGGGTATATATATAGAATTA